AGCTTAGATGTAGTAGAAAAAAAAAAAAAAAAAGGCAAACAAAGCAGAAATGTGTTGCAGATAAAATTAAGAGAAAAATAAGCCACTTCTTTCACTTCCTTGTACTAGAACATTTCAGATAATGCTCCTTCTCTGGCTTTCTGGCAAAGTGAACCTGAATTAGTCAGTAAGGCCCCTAGATGCTGCAGCTTCATTTAAATTAAAGAGTTGAGGTTTTTAATTTATCACATATAAAAATGAATAATACAATTGGTGCAGTAGCCCTTGGGTGTTTTTATGTAATAATACATTTATTTGACTCAGGCTTCTCATTTCCAGCCTGCAGCACACCGCAGTTTGTATTAATAATGCTGAACTGCATTATAATAATTGTTAGGGGACAACCTAGACGTTTAGGTAGCTGGTTAGCTGAGAGTCCATTTCTGACACTGGGAGAGGTGTGATGCTTTGAAGTCAACAGCTCTCTGAGAAGCAAGGGGCACAATTTATGGTTTATTTTGGGACTGTCTACAGACTCAGGCAGACAAGATGGCATCATTATGTGTTTGCTGTGCTCAAAGATAGATGTCAGGAGAGACCTTTAAAGCAGCTATTAAACCTCTTCCTATTTAGCCTTCCGAACAGTTAAAGTACAACCTAGTTCTAAGTTATTTCCTAGGAATTAGCAGGACTGGAATTTATTCATTCTTGAAAGTGAATTTATTAGCAGTGTTTTTCAGATTACCCTGTACTGCTGGAGAGGAAAAATATTCTTCCTTTTAGATGTAATGAAACAGCTTTGGTGAAAAGATCTGGGTGCCTAAATAAGTAGCCTGCTTTGTGGTCTGAATACATCTTCCACTTAGCACAATTTCTTAGGTTTTCGCTGTACTGCACACCCTATTTGAATGCTCACCACTGCAGAGCTACCAGGGGAGTCACCTAGCGGGAGCAACACAATGCTCAAAAAATGTGCAGTACATCTGTAACAACACTACTCTTACAACCACAGGAAAGTGCTGTTTCAGGGCCTTTTCTCTTTGGGAATGTAGTGGGATGCTGTAAGTAGAAAGGCCATTTTTTCGTACCTGCAATGCTAGGTGCAGATGCAATGCTGCTGAAAGAGCTACTGTAGCCGGAGGCACTAAGCGGCCAGGCACTCGATGAAGGCAGCGTGGCATTCTGAGATGATGTTGGGGATGACCCTGCAGAACCAGCAAAGAAGCAACTAAGAAAGATGGGCAAAATGGTGTCTGCTGCTGCATAAAGCAAGTCTAACTACATTATGTGCAAATACAAACCATGCAAGGTATTTCTGCTAATCACACTGGTCTCTGAAGTCTAGGAATGAAATGTTATAGGTAGCATGATAAAGTGAAGCAGACCTCTTTAGTATTGAAAAAAGAAATAAAAGCTGCTAAACTGGCAAATGCATTGGTGCCCATGCAGAAAATAAATTCTGAATTTCTCTTAGTATGTTCTGATCTTGGGAATGTCAGCGAAACTGTTAGTTCTCAAGGAATGGACTCATATTATTCATAATATTCTTTCTAAGCTCACCCAAGCAATAGCAACTCTAGATGAACATGAATGTATACTAAAAACTGACCTCTTATCCTTGATGATTCATCTTAAATAGCTGAGATAAACACTCTTCCATGGCCTAACAATCTAAATACCATTAGATTGTTTGCAAACTACTCTGTTGTAGATAAAGCCAATGCTAACAGTCTCTTATATTAGCTGTATCAAAGGAGCTGTAAGTACAAAGCATTCTAATACCACACTGGATGGCATATCATTTTTATAACAATATGCAATAAGATTAAACCACACAACAAATTAGGATCTATCTTGCTGTCAAGCTGCCTCTTCAAAACGGTAGACACACATTCAAAACTTCCCTACTGGTTAATAAAAGAAATATGCCATACACCAAAAAAAAAAAGTTTAACAGGAAATCAAACATCTTCAGAATACTCAGAATGAAGAATAAGAGACTATGAACCAACAGCCTCCACCTGAGCAGTCAAGGAAAAGAAAAATCAAGCTGTCTTTCAACTTATTTCTATCTTCCAAAATGCAGATATACATACTATTTGTGTACATTCATATATATGTACTGAGTGACATAATGCTAGGTGGGCAAACAGGGCCCAGGCACTACCTAAGGCGGGGGTGAGGAGAGAGGGAGGGGGAGGGGTATGCCAGAACAGAGTTGGTAGGGGTGCTTTACCCTGGCATTACTGCCCCCCCCCATAAAGCATAAGGGCAGAGAAGCAGCAATGGTGTACAATGCAGGAGCAGCAGTTGAAGGTTTGCTGCTGCTGAGCAGGGGATTCATCTCCCTTTCTGACTGCTCGACATGCATGTTCTCGGGGAAAAAAGATGCCACATCCCCCAGCAGCAGTGAAACTCCGGCCTCTGCTCCTGCACTGCTGCTCTGCTGTCCCCACTGCTGGAGCTGCGGCTCCTACACAGAAGGTGGTGGGGGAACTGGGGACCAGCAGGGCACAGGATGGGCCAGTTATGCCTCCAACTGAGAACACATAAAGTTGTCTTTCTGTCTAATAAAAGTGTTGTGACTTGCAACTATCACCAACTATTTGCTTCTGTATCTTTATTAAAAATATGAACGTTTATAACATTTAAGCAGCCCACAGAAGTTAGCCCACTAAAACTTGACTAATTTTATTTCTAATGAAATTTAGCACATCCAGACTTTTGGCATCAAAATATTTCATAAGTAGAATCATAAGAAAGTTGGGCTTTAAGGGACCTCAGGACGTCTTCTAGTCCAGTCCCCTGCTCAAGACAGATTATCTTTGACTAAAACCTTCCCAGCCAAGGGTCTCTTTAACCTGCTCTTGAAAATTTCCAGAAATGGAGATCCTACAACTTCTCTAGGTAGCCTGTTCCAATGCCTGACCACTCTCATAGTTAAAAACTCTTCCTAATCTCCAACCTAAATTTCCTCTGCTGCAGCTCGAGGCCTTTGTTCCTAGTTTTGTCACTTACATCCACAAAGAAAAGGCCATCTCTATCCTCTTAATAATCTCACTTCAGGTATTTGAAGACTGTTATCAAATCCCACCTCAGTCTTCTCTTCTCTTTAGAATAATGAACTAAGAACACAGTCTAAATAAAAATCAGTAACAAAGCTCCCGCAGCAGACTGTCAGTACATATCAATCTTCTCTGGAATGCAATGGGCTCTTGCCATTGACCCAGAGCTCGCTCGAAAGTTAAGAGTTGGCATTACAATCGTGCTCCCCCGCAGAACTGAACCTTCAAACTGAGGAATCATGTTAATAGGAGTTTATCGTCCTCCTTGTACGTACTCAATCTACAAAAGACGACTCAGAGGAAGAGGAGAATGATAGGAATTTAAAAACCATACTGACAATACAATAGCTGGTAAATGATCTTTCTTTCTCCTTTTGTCAATTGTGTAAGCAGAGCTTATCACTCTCAGGTGGCTTCTACTACATTTGACCTTTTACACAGAAAATAATAGGATCAGTTACAGCTCAAAATAGTTGATGAAAAATTAGGGAAGTCTTTAAGAACACCTAATAGACTTGGTTCTATTCCAAATGAGTCTTAGCATACTTCCTCTTATTCGTCATTGCAGGGGAAGTATGAAGCTTTCCAGGGAGAGTGTCTAGCCACTGAAGGTGAGGTGGACATTAAACCATCTGCCTTGCACCAAACAAGAGAGTAGGCAGGTGATGGGATAGACAATAGGAGGATTAAACACTCAGAAAGAAGGTGAAGAGTTCAGACAGCCATGCCAAGTCACCCCTCAAGACAGGCAACAGACAGAAGTCTAAAGAATAGGGAAATAACCATGACTCTCCCTCAAAGTAGCTCAGAGAGGAAAAGAGGATGATTAAAGAGAAAATTGTTTATTCCTAGATGACAGCCTAAGGCAAGCCTGTCAAATGGCCTACGGGGTTTCTCACTACAACTGCCTGATGTCTGATGTGTCAGTGTGGCCAGCACCTAGCGGTTTAACATAGCCACTGCCAGAGGTAGGTACCTTTCACCCCCTCCATCTCTTCTGGCTGCTGAATTTACCATTGTTGATCACCAGTGGCATTAAAAAAAAAAGTCAGCAGCAGTCAGCCAATGGGGGTGAGTAGTGGTGGCTGCTGGCAGGGAATATAGCCTACCAACTGATTTGAGTTCAATCCCCTGGTCCAAGGGATTCTTGTTTTGTCCAACCTGCATGTAAGCAAAAGAGGATGCAGTTGTGAAACTAATCTTACGTCTACAGAATCCCATGCATGAAGGATGACTCACTATGACTAAATCTCATCAAACCTTCTGTGCTGTTATAGCTAGAAATGATGCAGTTACCTAGCTACTTGCTCAGAACAGTTATGTGGTGATAAACAAATTCAATTTCCAAAAAGAGTACGGTCCACAAAGATAAATGAAACGTGACCTTGGAACAGGTAGCCTCTAGGCCTCTGTGAATTGGGAAGTATTCGATTCGAATTTGGCCGATTCAGAGGACAGTGATTTGACTGAATCAACTTCAAAAGATTTGGTGCTGATTCGGATTGGCCCAGGAGAGGCAGGCACAGCCAGGCGGCTGCAGGTTCTTCTGCGGCTCCCCTGGCTGTGCCTGCCTCTCCCCAGGGGGGAGCCACGGGAGAAGCCTCCATGGCTGCCCTGCCTGGCCCCATCCCCCGCCTGGCCCCCACCTAGTCCCAGCACTTAAAAAAAAAAAAAAAATTTAAAAAATCCCTGCACTTGCTTGTTGCAGCAGCAGTGATTGAGGCCTCTGGGTGCTCATGGCAGAGCTCTCCCCCTCGATAGCGCAGGGCTGTGGGGGGCAGTGGGGATTGCCTCTCCTGCTTTGCACCCACTTGGCAGCTGCCCCATGCCACGGGTGCAGCATGGCTTGGCAGGACGCTGCGCACTGCCTGGGAGCTGTGGTGGCTGTAGCTCCCAGGCAGTGTGTGGCACCCTGCTGCGCCATGGGCCAGTTGCCACGCGGGTGCCAGGTGGGGGCGATCCCCGCTGCCCCCACTGCTCAGGGCAGCTCTGCCATGAACCCTTGGAAGCCCTGACTGCCACTGTCAGAGCTGCTGAGTGTGGGGCTTTTTTTTTTTTTTTGGTAAAGTGCTGGGACGGGGATGGGGCTGGGCAGGGCAGCCATGGGGGCTTCTCCCGCAGCTCCTCTGACTGTGTCCGCCTCTGCCCTGGTGGGGGGAGCTGCAGGGAATATGCCCTGCCCCCACTTGCCAGCTGGTGTGGGGGCATGGGATCCGGGCGCGGCAGCGCTGGGAACAGGGGCTATGGCATGCTGCCACTTGCCCCCTTCCATCTGGAGCGAGCCATGCCCGCATCCTGCCCCCTCTCCCCCTCTAAGCTGGGCGAGTGGCAGCAGGGCAGAGCCCCCTCTCCCAGCGCTGCCATACCTGCATCCTGCACCCTCCCTCCCCCTGTAACATGTCTCCCCCGCCCCAGCTGGGCAGCTTGTCCCAGCCCTGGCTCCAATCCCTCCCTCCCCCATGCCCCTTCCTGTCCCCCTACCCCAAAAGACTTACCAGTGGAAGGCAACTGTGTCAGCTGCCTGTTTAGTCTATGGCTAAATCTCCAAAGGGACCAAAACTTTTCTGAAGCTTTTCCGAATCAATTCACATGTTTCGAATCGATTCAGAGCTTTTAAATGGTCTTCCGATTCGATTCAGATTTGAAGATTCGGTCCCCAAATCGGGCCAAATCTTCTCCGAATCGAATCAGCTACCGAAGCTTCGCACAGCCCTAGAAGCCTCTAACATGGATGGACTAAATGGAATTAGCTGCCAGATGGACTTAAACAATGCTTAAGAGTGCAGAGTGCTACACTCGTTCATTTGCCTTGATCTCTGACTGGCTGCTGAAACAACTAAAGCAACTGGAGCAGATTAAAATATTAAATAACCTAGAGCAAAAATATTCAGATTTTTACTATGTGGTGCAGTCATTTTGCCCCTTTAGACAGTGAAAGGTACAAAGTAAATTTAAGCAAACTAGCTGTAAACACCATTCCACTGAATGATCTTAATTTTGCTTCTAAGCTTCACAATACTGAATAGTGAGCAGGTCTTAAAACACTTCTCTGTCTACCTGCTAGTTAACTTCTATGAATTGTAAAATTTCTGAGACTTAGATAATAACTAACTGGTTATATGTCCGTCTCCCCCTTGCATTTCATGCTCCGTAGATCAATTCACTGCACTCCCTGCCACTACAACAGAGGTGAGAAGAATGCCTTTTTGAAACATATGAGCACACTGATTAAATAAGACAAAGGAAGACACAGAAGATGACATATGTCCAAGAATGTTTCTGAAAGCTTTCCCTTCACAGGGTTAGCCCTGCTTTGAAGGCCTATTCACACAAGCCTGCAGCAAGTTTATGCTGTATCAGAATACATGATGACCACTGGCCCCCACAGAAAAGTTAACAGCGCTGAAGGGAAAGGAGGACTGTTTCCCAGGTCCACAGAAGCAGTCACTAAAATACTTCATTCTTTTCTAGGTGGCTGTTTTACAGGCTTTTAAACTCCTTTTTCTGAAGGCAACTGATTGAACACAGAGTCCACAGACCACAGGCCTCAATTCTGACGATACTTTACAGTTGCCTAATGGTAACAAGAGAGATCATTGGAAACTGATACGGAATGGTGTGTACTAAAGCAAAAGAAGGGGAAGATACAGAATAAATCTCCTGCTTCAGCTCCACAATAACGCAGAGTGAACGTTCAGAAAACAGAGAAAGGCAATGCTAGACAACAGAAGTTGAACAAATCGCAAAGGCATCAGCTGATTCAATCTTGCTGGTATTAAAGGACAAACCAATAACAAAGGAATCAGTCAGTGCCAAATCTTAATATCAAGGCCTTCTTTTGACAATAATCTAGTCTCAAAATATTGCTCCTGGGGAAGAATTCTGAGACCCTGGAGAAGAGACATGACTAGTGTAGAGCATATCCCAGTGCCAAAGATATCCTTAACTCCAAAAAGCCAGGACACTTTGGCTCAGAGCAGATCATCCTGCAAAGCTTCTCCAGTAACAGAACAAACCATGGATTAGACTGGCTTCTGAATGTGGAGGGCAAGGGTAGTACAGGTGATGCTCTACTCCTGGGGGTGGCTTCGATCCAAATAGTAATATATCAGAAATACTGGCTTTCCAGTATCACCTTTGCAGTATCAGATGCATAACATTCAAATCTAATCTTTTTCTTGGAGATGTACCACAACAATCAACTCCAAGGTACCTGATAAGCGATCAATGAACATAAACTGAAAATATATATTGAAATGAATACAGCGGCAAACAACTCAGACTAAACAAAAACAACACCTGTCTAAACAACTAATCTAACATTAAATTGCTTACTCTTATGCTAATTATAGAGCAAAAAGCTAATGAAGAAAGGAAACATGTCAGTAAACCCAAGACACTGCTTTCCACAGGCTTCGTCTCAAGGGAGTGTATGCATCTCTACACAAGACCCTCAGCACTCTACATAAGAGCCTAAACTTAATTTTTCCACTATTCAGACACCTACATGATCCAGTGCCATGAATTATTTTATAAAGGACAAGTGTACCTTTACAGTCTTGCATCAAAATCTTAGGATGACACAAAAGAAATAACTATTGGATGCATGGGAATCTGCACTAAAGCTGAATTACTTAAACTTTCCAGATTAACAGTGTAAAATCATTTTTAAAAATTTAAGTGCTCTCCCCTGAAAGGCACATTAGGGTCATTAAAAGGTTAATTTGATATTACTCATGCACAACAAACAGTAATTTTCAGCTTGAACAGAGACTGCTTTCTGACAGCTTCCCAGCTGGTAAGCGACACAACTCAAAATTATTTAATGTAATAAAAAACCCTGCACCTCTCCCTTCAAGTTCCACATCCCTTTCCCTGACCTGTCAAGCTTGGATTGGAAAACCTGCTTCAATGACAATTATGATTCACAATCTAGACAAACAACACACAAGTGACTATGATAGCTAAATCTACATTTTAAAGTCCTGATAGGCCCTTGGGACAAGCCTGGTAATAATTCTGTTGTCCATGTTATAGTGCTCTACTAGGCTACTATCTTCAGACAGTTTACACATAATGGTGTAGAATGACCACTAACCGACCACGCCACCATTAATCTGGTCCTTTTTCTGCCACTTGGCACCATCTGAAGAAGTAGTGGAGTTCACTGGCTTAGTGTGTTAGGGAGGTCCCTTTTCACTCTGAAGTAAAACCTGACGAAGGACAATAGCAAGGACAATCCTTGCATAGAGTAAGTTTGTTTACCATTTTTTCCTAACCCTCTCTTTGATGGTTAAAGGGAGATACAAATCTTTCATCTCTTCCTTTTTGATCCTGCAGTGAAGCCACAAATGGTGAATAAGAAATGCCATATTGTGTCAGAGCACAGGTCCACAGCCCAGTATTTGTATCTCAGTGGCAGGGAGTGCGTTCAGAAGATCAGTTTGTTGCCATAGGAACAACTATTTATAAACTTAGTGTTCAGCAGCAGCAGCAGCAGCACCATGGGCATTATCAGATCAGCTTTCATCAGCACATGGGTAACACTACTAGCCAAGATTACTCAAAAAACCAGAATAAAAACCAGTCAAAATGTTCAAAAGGAGGGAAAGAAAGTAAATCAAGTGATGTATCATGTTTTTGTGACTACGACTGTACCTCCACTCTTGAGAAGATAGCGATTAACATCTTGTATGGTGGTATTAATGGTAGGCCCAGTGGGAACACTTCCAGGAGTGACATCAGGATCATTTTCGGGGTCAATATTCTGCAGTCCTTTCCATGGCACCCCTGGATGAAATTCTGTTTTAAAAATAACCAAAGCAAGAGCCGATGAAATCTTATCCTCAAGAGAGAAGGTGCTGTGATTCAGTAAATAAAATGAGCACTTAGATTCAATGACATCAACATTTTTATGATACTAGTTCCGGTTCTTTACCTGGTGGCCAATTAATGCTTGAGCCATTGGAGATTTTATCGCTATCAGTTTTGGCACGTGACCAACTGTGAGGAAGGGCTACAGGTGGACTGGCTGGTGACTCGCTGTTTTGGATCAGATCGTACCGGCCATAAGAGTCATCAATGGAGGACTTTCCCGGGGGACCAATACTTAGACCTCCAGGGATAGCACCTGAAATTAATGAAGGAAAAAGACAACTGCTTAGAGGCAGGACTAATTTTTAATCATTCCTTTTCAATTTTACTTACATTTGTAATTATTTCCCTTTGTCTGAATTAAGAAATAAAATTAACAAACACACAGCAAGAGTTACACAGCACACTGGAGTCTTCTCTTAGTATTCCTAAAAACCGAATCTGGTAAAAATCTCACTAGCCCATCAAAGTGGTCTGGACTGTCAGGTTAGCAAATTGCAGTTCAGAAAAGACCTGTCAAAAAGCTGGACAATTCAAATGAGTAAGATGATTCCAATTAGGAATTACTGGACAATCACTTAATGAAAATGGTAGAAATACTTGCAGGTCAAACATTTTTATTAAAATAATTCACATTGCTATTGACACAACTGCAAAACACAGGAACATTTACAGAGCACAGCTCTGAGAACTGAACCAGCAACACCAGGCCCAAGGTTTTGGAAGTGGAAATGCAGCCAAAAATTAAAATGCGTCACAGATAGTATTTTTCAAATATCTTCAGCTACATTCGTATCAATACCTTATAACCCAAGTACTAGAAGAAGCGGCTTATGCATTTTCCTGCCAGGAGCGGGGCTAAACAATATAGCCTTCCACTTGGGTGACCTTCAGTGAAATGAGTTTGACAGTCTCTCCCCAGCTCCCAGTGCACACATTTCAAAATCCTTCATGCAGGTGGATTCTACTGGCAGTTTGGTTGAGAAAGGCTCAATGCTATGTTACGACAAGGGTGACAAGATTTGGACCAAGTTATGTTGGAAAGCTGTGTGAGATGCATGCATAATGCCTGCCACCAAGCACCAACTAGGAAGAGTCTGTTAGTCATTAAACACTCTGTTTGGTGAACAGCATTCACAAGATAAAAAAAAAGACTAAGGTTTGAGAACTGACACAAGTGAGAATAGGGACAAAAGATTCTGTGCACTGTTGAATTTTAAAAAATAAAAGAGGTAGTTAGCTCTGTTATTCTGAAACCAAGCATAAGGCAAGGCAGGGTGGCACCCCCCCTAGAGATGAACTGGTCCAGAGAGGCATAAAATGACATAGGCAATGCTTTATTTCACCTGATGATGTAGGAAAGTCCCCTTACAGACTAGATACTTACCTAGCTGTAGTACTGCATAAGGCAGGGGAGACGGCACCTCTCAATCAGTTAGTTTCTAAGACGCCACCTGCCCTGCTTTCTGCAATAGTACAACTAGGTTAAATATCTAGTCTATAAGGGGACTTATGCCAGCTTTTAGTCACCTCTCTAGGAAAGAATACCTGAAATAAAGTCATTGTGTACACTTAGAACTTGACTGTCATAATGGCAAACTGGTAAAGAAGGAAGATGCAACGTACCATGCTTGCTAGAGTTCTGGTCAAGTGAAGAAGCAGCACTAGACAGATTATCCATCGAGTTAGGGTGAGTCCACTGTGGAAGGCGAGACTGGGACTGAGAAGTATCCTTCACTGACAAACCACCAGTAATGTCCATGCTGTTTACATTCATGTTCGGGTTCAGTCCAGCTAATGGGAGAAAGATGGTTAGGTTTCCAGAGTACTGTAGATCGTGAATGTTTAAAATATTAATGCTTGTTGCTTAAAGATCCAGTCAAACAAGTAATGGAAACTTAGATTTCAGTCAGCACTAATACAGAATAATGGTACGTTATTTTGCCATATGCTGTCTTGACTTTCAGAGTGGATTTTACTCATATAAAAAGTGCCAACTTATACTTTTTGCTAAAACTCCTCAAAATTTAGTAAACACACAAGAAAAAGCCCTAGCAGTCATGCATTAAAAATGCTGATGACATGTCTGCTTTTAATATTCCTAATTGGCCCAGAACAAACTTGCTGGAAGAGTATATATTATAATCCAAAGTGAAAACTAGCGCAGCACTCTATTACTGAGGCACATTAACCCTGGCAACTCTCCTGCGAACCCTTATGTTGGAGAATAAGTGTTTTTGTAGCAAACACTTTTTAAAATTATTACCACACCAGTTACCAATAGCAAACTGCCTTTGCTAATGACAGAGGGTATTGTGTTATTTATAGACATGTAATTGTTGAATGTACAAGTTATACGTAAGACTAAATACATATGAATACCACTGTATATTCAATACATTTCATATCAAAATCGTGTTCTAAAGATTATTTTTTTGTCTTTCCAAGATGGGGATGTCAGGTCTTTTTGGGTATGATCTGGAAAGATAACTAATCAGAGGTTGCAGAGAGTTGCTAGGAATCTTCCATGTTTGGGCCTTTCATTTATTTATACACTTTTTGCCTTGTGATGTTAACCAGCACCAAATACAGCTTTCACCAATTTACTTTCCCATTTACCCCATGAAACAGGTAAAATGCAACAACATTTTATAAAGCATAAACTGAGGCAAGAGATCTTTGCTCTACACATCATACAGTAAAGTCAATGGCATTGATAGAAGCAGAATCCTGAGTTCCTGAATCCCACACAAGAGCTTTAAACAAGACCATTTTTAAATACTCTCCTGGCTGTAAATTTTAGGAGAAAGCACACTGTCCACTTAGTGGAACTACTACATAGCTATTCCATATGCTGCTACCAAAAATAAATGAAACGACCTTTTCTATACTATGGTAGAGTATAGAGCAATGTTGTAGTTGTGGTGGTCCAGAAATTATGCTAACAGTGTGTCTGCCAACCCTGAGAATTTCTCTCCACCCTTCCCTTCTGTTGTGTTTCATTATGCTGTGCCCGACTTCCTGTGATCAGAGATCTGATGAAGAACACCTTACATTCAAAGGCTCATCTAACTATCCCAACTACACAGCTGGTCCAGTAAAAGATATCACCCTAGGAAATCCTTGCCTCTCTTCTATACTGTAATTTAATTTAAAAGGAACACAGGAAATGCCTTACCAGTTTTCCTCTAACAGGCCCTTGAAACTGTTTTTCTCATTTGGTGAACCAGGTCCAAGAATAATTAACTTAGTAGTTATGATATTTTGCCTCATATTTAGGACAGAGAGTTGAGGAAGACTATTAAGGGTATCAGCTATTACTATGTGGGGCATGGACCATCATGATTTTGTATAAGCCATTAAACATGCATTTAAGGAATACACTTGTTGTGGATTTTTACTGTATTATATGGATCACAGTAGGTTGCTTAAAATTGAAATAAACACCATCCTTTCTCTCTGGTGAGTGGTTGCTTTAATGAAAGAACACTTACCAAGAGGGTAAGGAGCAAAGGTGTTCGGTGAAGACTGCTGCTCTTTGGTCTGCAGGTCAGGGAGGCTGGGAGCCTGGGAATGGGGTGAAAAGCTATCCATGGCTGATTTGCCTGCAGAGGGGTGCAAAGATAGATGTGGAGTGGGAGGCTGCTGCTTCATGAGCAGTGCCTGGGCCAGCTGGCGCTGGTGCTGCTGGATCTGCTGCTGCATGTTATTGATTGTACGTGCAACCTGGTAAAAACAAATGAACAAAATTAATAAATGACAGATAGCACAAAGAAACCCTGGTCTTGCTACGCCACTTTCTAAGCAGAAGCAACAATACTCGGGCCTTTTAAACTAAACAAATAATGACCTAAGAGTAAGATAGCATTCTTACACAGAAGGGAAACTGAACTGCATTCCACATCACACTAGTCTTTTTTATTATAAAACCATGCAAGTTACAGTATTTTTCTTGCATATGCCACACCCCAACATATAATACAAATCTTATTTTTGAAAGGGAGAATCAATTTTTCCAGAGTTACAACTTCTTAGAGCAAGGACAGAGCTTAATCTTGAGCTGACCAACCTTCCCTTTCCTACTCAACTAAAGATGAACCCCTAGCTGCTCCTAAAGACTGGTCTCCATGGGTGGATCTACGATTATGAAAAGAACTAAAGAGTCTCCAAGGCTGTGAAATAGGAGGGCAGAGACTGGAGCAGCTACCAGACAGCAATATTGCCCTAAGAAAGGTTAGTCTGATTAGTGGAACATCAAGTCCATTAAAAGACAGAGATGATTGCCAACACTGCTGGAATGAGAAACAATGAGCCGTTAAGTCAACTGACTCTCTCAGCTGTCCGAATAGCAACAAAAGAACTGCTGCACTGTGGAACAGGAATCAAAGCAGGACACTTCTAGGCCTATCAGAAAATCTGATTCCCTTAGTACATGAATCCCAACTTTGCAGGGTTGAGTTTGGGTAGGAAAGGTGCTTGTTATCTGCAAGAAAATACAGTATTACGGTGTCCTAACGGCTATTTAAACTACTTTGGTGTAATATACTATATCCTTTTAGAAAAGTAAAACTAGAATTAACATTGAAATCAGGGTGGCAGGTTTAAACCTACTTGCTGCTCCTGTTGTCTCATGGGTCCGGAAACATTACGCTGAGCCTGTAACATCTGCTGCTGGATTTGTAAACGTTGGTACGCCTATGGGCAGTAAACAAAGGAGGCAAAGCTCAGATATTAAAAAAAACAAATCAATATTTTAGCTTGAATTGTGGCTGTAAATTACAACACAAAAAGTATCGCTGGGTGATGCTGTAGCCATGATGGTGCAGAGAAATGTGAGCACTCCATCTGTTATTTAGCCCTGCTGTATCTGCTTCTCCCTGAGACACCTGAGGAAGGGTGCTGCCTGAAAAACTGCGCATGTCCCTCCCAACTATATACAGTTGGTCCAATAAAAGGTATTACCAGTGAAGAAAAGCAAACGCCAAGAGTTTTGGCTTTTCAAAGATGGTTACTGAAGTAAAAGTACTGCTGTACTTGCAACAAACAGCATTTGAAGAGACAAATATCTGAAAATGTTTGCTTTAGAAGCAAAAGATATTTTCCTTTGAGTGCACAGAATTTTTAAAAAGCAAGATAGCCAGTGCTGCTAATGAGTAGGTTTGGCAGCAGTAAGCATTTCATTAAAGGCAGCAATCAAATGTTTTTGCCTAATTCGTAAGAATTAGTAGTAAAAAGGGTAAGAGAAAATTACAAAAAACCGTAAATTAATCATTGTGGCCCACACTGCCCTAACACTGAGGTTGAATTTTATTGCATTTGGTCGGATTACGACAAAAACCAAAAACTGCACAGCAACAAGTGTTAATGCCCTTCCTGACATTAGGGTGTCCATAAGCTGTTCTACGATTTTAAAGGGGCTGGATAAGGAGTAAGGCATTATAGTGTAAGAAGCTGGCTGAAAAGTTTCAAGTGTCAGAGATTTTTTTCAAGCACTATATACCAATTATTGATGTATATACAAATCCCATGTACTTCCTTAAACCTGTGAAAGAGGGTGACACACTAGTTTTGGTAAACAAAGACTGTAACTGTTGATGGGGGTAAAGAAGGAGCGGGGGGGCGGGGGGGGCGGGTGGCAGCAGTGCAGTCATACCCCCTTCTGGCTATGCAGGACAAGAGCAGCAAGGTCCCTGAGCTCACTGGTATGTCAGGGCAGCTGCTGCCGGAGCTCTGTACACGCAGTGAGTGCTGAGCTCACTAGTTTCATAGACATTAGGGCTGGAAGGGACCTCGGAAGATCATCGAGTACAGCCCCCCACCCGAAGGGCAGGAAGTCAGTTGGGGTCACAGGAGCCCAACAAGATAAGCAACCAATTTACTCTTGAAGGTGTTCGATCAGAACAGGCTCCGGCTGGAGCCTCTGCTTTCATGCAGCTCAAGCCTGGGCAGGGGGTATAAGAGAAGGAGGGAGGCACTGCTGCTGCTACTCATTCCCTGTATTTTCTCAGGCCACTGAATTCAGTGGGATGGGGGGGGAAGGTGGTGATGGTGCTCTCCCCATGGGCTCTGGAGCCATGCAAAAAGCAGGAGCTCTGGCCAGAGCTTACACTGATTAGCTGGCAAGATCAGAGCTTATGATCCATATGGTGCTCTGACATGAGATGCACTGACAAACAATGAGCACAGTTTACTGCACAAGCACTATGCAGCTGGAGAGGGTGTGGCTGCACCTCCTCACCACCACCCTGGATCTGCTCCATAACTATAAGGGATTTCAGAACATTAACATCAGTACTTCTAAAAAAAAAAAAAAAAATAGTAGTGCGTGCCATCCATCATAAAACACCTGTGGCTTTTATAATGTATGTAATTCTCAAACATTTGTAAATAAAATGCCACCAAGCAACACATTAATTTTGCTTCAGAACATGCTAAATTACCAACATCAAAATGAAGACAACTGACTTGCTAATTATAGTTACCAGCATGAAACAACCAGTGTCCCCAGTATTAAATGACAATTCAGAATATTAGTTGTTGTAATGACTGAGGATTATCAAAAAAAACCCATGATTATGTATTAAAGTACCAAGAAATTAAGAAGTAATTTTATGAAAGCAATAACTGCTTGATATTTTTAAAGCACTATCCCTTCTGTTTTTAAAATTAAGATGGCGGGTCTCTTTTTCTAAACTCCAAATGCACCTTTACAAAAATACCTTCAATAATAATTTATAGCATATTTGCTTTGCTTTTTAACTCACCAGCTGCAGCTGATAGAGCTGGTTCAACATCGTCATATGCTGAGGATTAATTGGCGAGGTTAATAGTGCAGGGTTGAGACCAATGTTTTTTGCTGCAAACTGCAAAAGCTGTGCTTGAACCTGGGGACATGAGAATACAACATATACATATACATACATATATATACACACACACACACACACACACACACACACACACACACAGACGCGCGCGGGCGCACACACACACACACAGAGCATATCATTGCCTGCAATGAAAATGATCAGTAAGAGCCACAGATTAGTTACAAAATAGATTTACAATTAGGATGTCACCAGTTTTAGGAGCTTTATATCAAATATAAAAACTTTATCGAGAGGGTCACTCACATTACAAACGTCAAATATTACTATGAAATCAACTTTTCTGAAGGATGCAGAAGTAAAGAAAATATAATGCTTTTTAATGGCTTTTCTATATTATAATCTGTGTGGGTTCATTCAACCATCTAGGCATTACTGTTAGCCAACTTTATTATTTAATCTTTTCTTTCTTCACACTGAAAATTTTTCTACTCTGTCTAGTCTCATCACTATGAAACATAAATATACAGTTTTCAGTAGTGTGTAATTCAAGCTAACCTGAGGGGATAGAAACTGAGGCACTTGAGCACGAAGACTAGGCTGGGATGAGTTAAGAGGTTGCACTGGCGGTTGCTGCGGCTGTTGCATGGTCCTGGCTTGTGCTGCTCCGCTATTGCCAAACATACCCAGATTGCCACTTGGTATCTATAACATACAAGAAAGAGGACCGCAGTTAAATGCAACATTCCACAGACTCGGTGCCAGTAATGTGCCTGTGCTATTTTTTCTCTCAAAAACCACGACTGGCACGACAAAGACATTACCATATAATGCCTTCTATCTGTATGGGAGAAGTTTTATTGAAAATGTTATTTAGAATTTGGCAATCAAGAGCACTTATATATGCAGGACACGAGTTTTGTACTGATGCTGGAATGGCACCAAAAAGCTGACTATTTTCCAAAATAAGTATGCACAATTCTAGGATGTCATCCAAAGAATGAATGACAAAGTATTTGCCAACTATATTTGTGTGTACATGTGAAAAGGCAGAAGAATGAAACACTAAAATCCCAAATGATTACATTACTGAAGAAATTTCTATTTGGCTCTAACACAGCTTTGCGTTATACAGGTCGAAATAGATGTGCTATCAGTGCAGCCACTGCTTTCCAAAGATGTGCCTTATCAGTTGTAGGTCCTGGACAGATATTGCCTCCAGGAAAGTAGTTAAGACGACTCCATCATACTAAAGCTAACAATATTAAGTCAAAACCACTGTAGAAGGATACAGAATTTTATTGTGTAAAATCTTTTTCCTTTGCTGCTATTTCAGTTTAAATGGCAAACCTATTTTCCTCATCATCAGGCACTGTATGACCTCACAATTACTTTGTTCATGATGAATATTTCTTTCACTCCTTGGTGAGGTTCTCTAATTTCCCCTCCTTTTTTCTCAGTCCCTCAAACACTCTTCTCACAACGCAGATGAAAGATAGCTCCCTCCATACTCTTTCGGTCACCTAGAGGTGCTCACTAATGATGTAGTAAGTTGAGTGCTTTCCCAGCAGTTGCAGTAGGACAAATGTGCAACCCTCCCCCCTACCCAAACTGTATCATTAACGAATTAGCCAGTGAGGGCTAATTAGAAGGAAGATTTTGTTTTAAATAAATATTAGAACAATCAGCAGTCTCAGAAATATAGAAACTATGTCAATTGTTTATGGTTGAGTAAAATTTACCATATACGTGTGGCTGAAGTTCTTCTGTACTTCAAAGAACCTTGCTCAGTATAAGCCCATAGGGACAGGCAAATAAATACACAGATGCAGGTAAATTTCACGTTAATGCTGATTATGCACTGTGGCCATTTAAGGGAACGGTTTACAAAGCAGGCAGCTTCTTCTGGCATTTTATGCAAACATCTGTACTTATTTTCAGTTTACATCACCACTTCCAAAAGGGAAGAGAAATCTCTCTAGCAGTGAGTTCGAGAGAGATGAAATTCAAATTGCGATCTCTCAGAACCTGCTTACCTGTCTAGAAGAATTCAAGTTTTGCATGCCCAGCCCTGAGGCAATCCCGCCCAGGGCCTGATTAGGGAGTGCACTGTTTGAAAGGGGGAGCTTCAGGCTTGGTGAAGGCAAAAATGGTGAAGTAGTGGGCTCTTCCACTAGGCCGCCATCCTGATTGGAGAAAGAAAGGGTGAGCTGTGTGCAGTGCCCACAAGTGGACAGAGCACAAACCAGTTTTCCCATGGAAATATAAAGGGGCATGGATGAATAAAAGATCAAAATAGTTTAAAAAGAAAAAAAAAAGGCATGAGCAACAGCAAATGAAAAGTATGGGGTGGAAGGAAGAAGAAAAAGAGAAATAGGATTAAGGAATTGTTTTTCTTTCTTTCTTTCTTTTTTTTTTTGCAAATGCACAAATTCATGTTCATTCTCAAACACCCACCCAGTATAAATAAAGAGTGGTGCCATGTTTCAAATCTGCTATCAACAAAGTAAAACAAATTTCCTGGCCTTGAAGGCAAAAAACCCCGTGAATCAGACTGCTTTCACTTCCCCTATTGTCTCCTATCTAGCAGCACAACAAATGAGGGTACAGGGGCAGCAAGTTTTAGAAAACTTTTGTTCTTTTCTCCAATCTGTGGTACACTGTCAAACAGCACAAACGTGAGACATGCGCTTTGGAAAATGTGAAGCTAGGAAGGCCAGATGAGCTCATTTTACATGTTCTTTAACAGAATGTCATGGGATCACTAGTCTGGTTTCAGTTCCAAATCAGACTTCAGCTGTTCAGAAAGCACATTTGCCTTAATCCTCCTTCCCAACTCTGTTTCAACTAGATAGCAGGTTTGTAACCTAGTGCTACACTAACTTACTAATTCTCACAACTAAATTCTAGTATTTAGCAAACCTACAGAACTTGGAAAAAACAAAGACTAGTTATACTCTCTCTGTGTGGACTCCCTAGTTGTGTGACTGAAGTGCTGCCCCCTTCCCAAAGGCATAAAATCAATGCTTAGCAATAAGAAAGATGTCTGGTGTCTAGCATCACAAAAGGCAGCTGTAAGAAGAGAAGAGTGTAGAACTTATACACAGTGTGACAGCTTACTTTGAGAAAGGAAAAAAAAAGCTTTATTTAGGGCTTAGTAAGACAAGTAAGTTTCTTAGTAAGAAACTGGCACATAACCCTCACCTAGACTGGTGTAGGGCTACAGTCATTACAGCGGAGTACTTAATTCCTAATATACCTTAATAGCTGGCTTATGGGGTAGAAATCTGTGCCCTAATACATCCAACCAGTCAGAAAATTGCTAAATATTAAGCAACATCCTTTATCCATAAAATAAACCAATCCTTTAACCAGACACCCAAATAAATGACCTAATACAGTGTCATTTTCAGTAAACTACGTTATAAATTAATCCTGTAAAAATGTGTTTTCAATTGCTGCCTTTTGATGCAAAGAAAAAGTTATTTTATGATCAGCCAAACTGACACTTGACTTGGTGTCTGAATATCTTGAGGGGGATACTGACATTTTCTAATGATATCCCCAAGGCCTTTCAGCTCAAGATGTTTTACATTCTACTGGCCATCAGTCACACTCCACAAACAACTGCAGCTTGCATGACAGTAACAGGTTCAAGGCTTTCTCCTCTCTAGATCACGGACATATGTTTGCAATCTTTTCTTTTTTTCTTTGACCCTAGACTTGGGGAAGTTACTGTAGATTTGTGTATTCTTTCTTTTTGGTGCCAGCATCCCTTACACAAATAGAAGCCTAGCACAACTAATATGGTCTGACAAAAAAAAAAAAGTATTACCAAAGAGATTGCCACACTTTCCTCCTCATTTAAAAAATGTCTAGTGAATGCAGTGCTGATAAAATGCATTAGAATGACTCCATTGGAGACTTACAGAACAAATTCAGCCTGGTTACTTATAGCAGCAGCTGCCCAGAACTTCCTCACTACCAAACTGAAGAAAATATATTTCCTGGTCGTTCAGCAATCATACTCATTTGCCCCTGTAGTTTTTTTACTGAGACGTCCAAAGCAGCTGCCACAGGTAATGTAAGCATTTATCCTCTCGAACTGAGATCAGCTTACATCATTGATCAATAAGATCTTTTGGTAATTACCAATCTATAACTGGCTGGATTTGTACCGATAACCTAAAGGTTTACAACTCATTACTAATCTCCAGGATCTAGTTCAAGCCTAATTTCCATCCCCAAGTCCATTTCTGATATTTTTTTAAAGTAAGTGTTTTTATTCCCCTCCAATTTCAACCATGTCTCCTATCAACTTATCTGATTTATTTTATGCTTGGCCTACCAAAACCTCTGAAATGGAGTAAGTTTCTGAAAGGAGAGGAAAAGACTAAATTTCTAAGGATAGGTTAATAACCTTTCCATGTTTGTACAAAGCAGAACCAACCCGTAACTTGCGTTCCTCAATAAAGATCGTTACTTCTAGATCACTACTTCTAATTCTTTGAAAATATCTGATAGAATTCTCAAGTCTCATGCACCATGTGAGAGACAAGAGAAATCACTTCACCCTGTTTTTTCAGGCCTCTGAGATACTGATAGTTCAGCACAAGATTCCCTCACACTTCAGCGATTACAGAGTAACAACTGTCACTATCTGATCCCACAGAGCCTTCAAGAGAGTCCTGAGACTGCAAAGAAAGCCAAAGCTTTTTCCACAAGCCAATTATAAATGGGTAAGTAGACTATTTTTAAAAATGCAAATCCCATCCTCTTAAAGAAAGTAAAAATTTTACACGTATACACTGAACAGATATGGAAAGAAAAATCACACCAATCCTAAAGGTGGGTGTGTGAGAATCCGGCAAGATGGTATGCTCAAAGATGCAACTGTGACTTGCCTCACAATATTTCCATTCTTGGAAACTAAGGAATTTCAGTGAGGCTTTAGAGTAAAAGCAATAAACACTTGAGAGTGATGCTGCGTGAATGGATGGTGGAATGAAGGAAACGTATGTGCGTGTGCACGCGTGTAGTAGGGTACGGTAAAAAAATTCTTAAAAAGCCGACAAATAATCATACAGGTGCAAACAAAGGTCCTCAAAAAGACAAATCACCTAAAAAAAAAAAACCTGTCCAGCTTATTTGACTGACCCGTTTGGAATGTGATGGTAAGAAGAATATATAAGGCTGAAGGAACTAGTTGATATTCATGTTAAAAAACCAGGTATTAATAATCTAGGCAATGAGGAAAGAGGTTTATGAAAGAAGCTAAAGGTGGAAACCAGGCATCAAGCCTTGTGATGTCAGATGCTTTGATGAAGGAGGAACATTTGCACTGAAGAAGAAAATGAATTTGGAACAGACAATTTCACATGGTTTTATACATGCTCAGGAATACAGACGTCACAGTGGAGACTTGGACCTCAGCAAGGACTGAAGATTAGTAGTGCAGATGCAACAGTGTAGGAGTGGGGGTAAGGTGGCAAATGGCAAAGAAATGAGCCTTCCTGGATGTCAGTCAAGTTGACGGAGAAAGCTGACCACACAGGCTTGAAACTGATGCCATACGAGGCAAATGATGTCCAATCAATGCCATATCTTCTGGCACTGCTTTCAAGGAAATGACTAAGCCAGGCTATTAGTTTTCTTCAATGCATCAACCTGACTTTTGGCTATGTACACCCAATATTCCAAAATTTTCAGAAGAACTAGCTTTGTACTAACAAGCTGTCTGACATAAATGCCAGGATCAAAGCTCAGGTATCCTGAAATGCAATGCCATAAGTTGGCAAGACTTTCTTCTAGCAAAAGCTTGACCATTAGGCACTCAATGTAGGAAGCAGACGACTTGGCCCTTGGTAAGATGCATTCTGAACTTCACCAGCTGCGACAAAGAAATACACTTGACTGGGATAGTTTAGTCAGGGCTGATTCTGCCTTTAGCAGGGGGTGAGGACTAGATGGCCCTACTTTCTTATGATCTCTGATGCTGAGAAAGTAAGCCAGAACAAAGTTTCAAGAAACGTATTTGGTTACATAACCTATTGATATTCCAAAGAAAATGAGGAAGAAAGCATGTCCAGCATATAGCATCACAATAAGACATTAAAGATCTGGAAGTTACCACACCACAGTACAGAGGGCTGAGAAAGGATCTGAACAAGTTTTTCAAATAAGTGGTAGACAGTGATAGTACTGTGGCTCATACCAGACAGCCAAAGCTGTGGGCCACAGTGCCCAGGTAAAAAGAGCTGACAGGCACACAAGCAATACAAGTATTTAGTAATCTACTAAAGACTCAGAAAAATTAAACCAAAAGTATAGCCACTGAGGCTGCTTGTAGACATTAAAACAACAAAACAAAACAAAAACTGGGGCTTTACTTCAAACTTGGTGTTTTCCCATACCAAGCCTAGCACACGCTCAGATGAGGCAGCATGTTAGCTGGACCTGGCTCACCCACCGTCTGTATAGTTTGGGCGCTTTACTGGGGCTTTTTTTGGTCCTTTCAACTAAAGGTGATTGACTCAGCTTAAACGAAAGTGCCAAAAAGCCCCACCGAAGTACCTGATCTATACAAATGCCGCGGAGCATGTGCTACTTGCTACATGTGCTACTTACTTCAGTAAAGCACTTTTCGGGGGGTTTTTTTTGTTAACATCTGCAAGCAGCCTACACTGACAAAACAATCAAAGACCGGGCTGAAGCAAAAGTGGACTGAAGATCTCAGTTCAGTCATGACAGGGGACTGGGTGACTTGACCACAAACAAGGAAGGACACCCTGGTTTGAACGATTTAAAAAATAAGGCAGTGCCAACTGGTAGACGCACGCACTGAAATAATAATATCTCAGGGGGAGGGAGGGTGGGACTCTTAAGCCCATGAGTTACATGAAATCCAAGCATGAAAACAGGTAAATATATATTCTGGATTGGATCACAATGGAATTTTCTCTTTGTTAAAGAAGAAATTGTGACAGATCATTCCTATACTGAGTTTTTACCTGCTGTACACATATTGATATTGATATTTTACTACTTTGCACAAGTTATACTTAACACATTTTATATTAAACACTAATGAAGCATATATCTGGCCTCCCTCTCTGGTAATGATGTAACTGCTCCTAGAAAGGAAATGGTTTATTGACATACATCACATTGTCTCACATACAACATGCCCCTGAATACACACCTGGTTTTTGAAAGACAGAATGGAGGAAACATTTTTTTCCCAGACTTATGGCTGCACAAAGCATGGACAGAGCCTTAATCTTCAGCTGACTTGCTCTCCTTTTCTTGCTTAACTAAAGCTGAACCCCTAGCTGTTCCTGAAGCCTAGTCTCCATGGGTGGATATATGATTTTGAAAGTCTCAAAGAAGATAGGAAGAAGAGACCAAGAGCAGCTAGCAGACAACAAAACTGCCCTAAGAAAGGTTAGCTTGATTAGTGGGACATCAAGACCATTAAAAAGGAGAGACAATCATTAACACCAATGGAGTGAAGCGCAATGAGCCATGAACAACTACCCCTCTCAACTGCCTAAATAGTAAAGCAACAGGCGCTGCACTGCGGAGCAGGAACCAAAGCCGGGTACTTCTGTCTCTGGCAGAAAATCAGCTTCCATGCTTAATACACACCCAGTAATTGTGGGGGGGATGATTTTTGGGAGAAAGGTTTGTGTTGTATGTGAGAAAATACAGTATGTATTAATTATATATACATGATCATAGGAAAAATTATTTAATTAGCATATTAATTAAGGCTTGCCACAAATAAATAGATTGACAGTTGTTAAGAACCGATAATTATTTTAAGCTGAGGGATAGAGAATAGGATGAAAGAAGAGCCAAGTGAGAAAGACGTTCAAGAAAAGGGGAAGAATGATATAATAGACCCCATGCCATTTCTGATATGAAAGTAGGACTTGGAAGAACAACGCGGCATTCTTAAAACAAGCCAGTGCTTTGCTAATATACATTTAGCGAGAGGAAAACTGCCATGACTCTAGACTGAAGCACTGAGACAAGGTTTTTGATGTGGAACTGAGGCAAGCTCAAAGCATGTAAGGTTCCTTTGCAATTAATTTTACTTTACAACTTGAGTCTTAGTTTATAGCCAGCAGCATTTTTAGCCACAGTAACAGATGGTATAGTTCTGTACCTACAGTCATTTGTTTAATTTTGTTTGTTTGTTTTCTCATAATCATACCTTCAGCAAAATGTTTGGGCTCAAAAAAAGCAAAAATAGTATTAATGACCTACAACAGTTGCCAACATTTACCAATTGTTAAAATAGTGGACTGGAATGTGAAACAGCACATTCATTTTCTATTCATGATATAGGGAAATACTGCAGGATCTCAGATCCAGCCATGTACTAATTCTCAGAATCCCAACTTTTCAATGAAGACAACAATAGAAAAGAACTGCAATAGTACAGAAAGGTCTAAAGCTGAATGGTGCCTAGGACTAGTAGCACACTCTTTTTCATGTTTATAGGGCTGGTTTTAATCTAGCCTGCATTAATAAGACTAGATGTCATAACAGCTCACACCCTGTGAAGAGTCTATGTGAAAGTAACCACTTTTAGCACATTTGCTAGAATATACTAGTACCACATGCCACCCTCCCCCACCATGCCTTCTGCTCCAAGTGGGCACCTTTAATGGAGTTTCAAAGGGCTTAAGAAATACATGGGTGAGGAATCTGAACTAGTTTTTTTTCCCCTCAGTAGTTCCCCCAGAGGGGACTGAAGCATTGTGAATTTAATGGTGCCATTGTTTAAGAGAACTACAGTCTACAGAACAGTTAACCCGACCCTTTCCAGAGGTTGACAGTTCCCCAGAGGAGCTGGGAGAACGGACGTATTGCAGGCTTGGTTCAAGGAAGGGGCAAAAGGAAACCCTGGTGATCATCCACCTTCAGTGCACCAGGTTCAACCTCTCTCCTGCCTCTTCCAGAAGCTCCTTATAAAGTTATGTTTTCACTTCTCCTCACATTCTTTCTTTTGTGCATTTCATATTTATGGCATCATCAAATACTGGAATCTCTCATGTAATTTTTTCTGGCACTGGCCAAAATGGCCACAGGTGAGTCTTCAAATCTATTTTTGGTCTTTTCTTGGCTCATTTATCTTGGCACTGCAAGCAGTGTCCACCGACTCCTTGAACTTATTTACACATTTCTGTTTAGGGTTCTGTGATCAGTGCCCTATCCATTTTCCTTATTTTTAGGCTAGAACTTTCACTCAGATTTCTTTTTATGTAATATCCATCCCATGAAATTAGCTGACCTCAAGTCTCCAGACATTCCTTCAATTAAATGGGCAGAGCCTTTAATTCTAGACTCTGCTCACCTTTCCAGGACAAATAAACTGGCCAATACCACAGGCATCAAATTCACACAAGTAAAACAAAGAAAGAAAAGGAAAAATAATGTGACAAGACAGACACACATCTGTAAGTTCACTTCTACTTAGATGTCTGTGCTAGACAACAGAAATCTGTAGCTCTTTCTAAATTCCAACCTGTTTGTCTGTAATTATAACTCATATTATTGAATTTACCTTGTCAAGGAAAGTGGGGCGGTCCATGGAAGACTCTTTGGAGATTGGTGGTGGGCGGCAGCCAAGGGGTTTGGTGACCATTCCATTATAATCGGTCACTCCCATTCCACGCTTGTCCATTTCCACCTTCTTTTCCAGCAGAGCACCTGCACAGAAATGAAGATAGCAGGAGAGAAAAGGTGATGCAAAAGCAAAGCAAATATACATACACTCTACAACCTAAAACAAAACTAGAGACTATTTATATACCTATTCAAATCAATATTCAGTTTACATAAAAAACTAAAATACATTTTATCACTGAAAACATAATTGTGGGTTTGACATACAATGCTAATTTAAATGGATCAGATCATTTCCTGACATGCCCTTAAAGAAGAAGACTTACTCATGGCCTGATCAAGATTCATATTGTTGCTTTTCAAGGCCTCTTCTGCTGGTTCTCTCTGTAAACAATAAAGATTTGCTTATAATTGTGCTTCAAGCAAAATGTAAACACATTTTACAGAACTCCAGGCCAATTGGGAAGTTACATGATTCTTTTAAGTCTTGTGTATAACACTGTCACTTATTACCATATTTATTTGATTCTAAGATGAGGTTTCTTCCCCCATTTAACATGGAGGGGAAAGCCCCTTGTCCTAGAATCAGGTATGAGGGCAGTGGTGGGGCAGGTAGCTGGGACCATAGCCACAGTTGCTGCCTGCCCTTCTGCCTACCCTGGACCCACTACCTCTGCACCCTGCCATGTCCCCACTGCAGCTTCTTCCCCCCACCATTTCCCTACACTCTCATGTAGTCTCTGCTCCCCGACCTGCTCTTCTCCCATCACCCTTACCTTTGCTCTCACTGGCAGGCTCTGTCCGTGCTGCAACCTAGGGCACAGAGCATGGCCCCATGCAGTCAAGTGCAGCCTGCACAGCTGCTATGAGGACTGGGCCGGGCCTATGCTCAGTGCCCCAGGCTAGAATGGGGACAGAAACTGCTGGTGTGAAGCAAGGGTAAGAGGGTGGCAGGGAAATGAAAGTGGGGAGTAGAGGCTAGGGAGGAAAGCGGGGAACAGAGGCAGGGTGGGAGAAGGACACGATAGGGAGCAGAGGCAAGCTGCTGGATGTCCCCACACCACTGGCCCACCCCACTGCCTGCCTCCTCATAACAGTGGGGGGGATGTATTAAAGATGACCCTCCACTACTTAGATTCTATACTGTACATGTAAAATTGTAACAAATTTTCCATGTATAAAATCTAATCATTGGGGGGCACATTTAATTCGGGGCTGTCTTAGATTTAGGTAAAAATGATAAGTGACATTTTTATACACAATTTTTCTGCTTCTGCAAATTATGATGCGTTTCAAACACATCTTTGGCTTGTATCAATTGGGGAACTGCATATCTGCTCTAAAAATGTAAATAATTTCCTCCTTATATTTAAGTCTACACCTATTTTATAAATTTTCAAATCACTGCCAAACACCTGACTCTCATAAACACATTACTCCCGATTTCATTTGTTTGGGAGAGGCTGGGGAAAAAGAAAAGGGTCTATTATAAGCTCAAACTAATACCCAAGTTAAAACAAACAGAAACTTTTGAAAGTGCTGCTAGATTTGTCAAAGTTAAATATGTCACTTTCCACCCATTCTGGAAGCTTCTGAAACGATACAGAAATAAATGGGCAAATGCAGTTAAAACTCCCAAACCTGATTTCCCTTTTCAGCAAGACCAATGATAGTATCTGCAATGCAAACAGTTAAAAATATACTTTCTCAGCTATGAAAACCAAGCCACAAGACAGGTTGGATAAGAATATTACTCACTGGGAAGCCCATGTCTGTGAGCTGTTTTATCAGACGGTTCATTATCCAGGCCTCATCTTGCTTGCTAGATGTCTTCATGCCCTGGGTAAATAAATTGGAAATACCATTAATTGTCTATTTTCCATATTCATACCCGTGAGAGGCAGCCAAATCCACGGCAGGTTTCCCTTATTAATACTGCATGTTGCTTCAGGGTGCATTTGTACAATATTTATAACATATACATGAACCCCACAAACAGGATATAATTACACTTCTCTTTCCCCAGAGGACGTGACACAAATTTTACCTCATCTGATCAGGTGTTGTAAAGAACTACTTACTACCTGATTTGCTGAGCAATAAACAAAGCAACCCTATCTCAGAATATCATTATTTCATTTCATTTCTCTGTGGGATAACACAATGGAGTCAGAATTTCTGAAATAGTATAAAGCTTCCTCAAAATACTCTAAAAATTGTATTTGCAAATGTAAAGATAAAAATCTGTCAGAGTCTATTCAGGCTATTCACTGAACTAAAGAGCGAAACAGATATCTTTGGTAGAACTCTCAACAACTTTTTCCTCTAAAAACCTGATGTGCAGCTCTCCAAATGATCAGAGAACAAATAGACACCTACTAAAGGGGTTAGTCACAAAAATTGCCTGATCAATCAATGGTCCATACAGCAGAACTGGCAGAGTAATTAAACAACAGTTGTATATACAAACTATATTCCTGACCCCTTTACAGCAGAAGTTGTCTTATGTTTTGACATAAGGATTATTTTTTCTCATGTGATTAAAAAACAATCTTAACATAAATATGGGTATTATTGTCCATCATGGTCCAGTTAATTTTTTCCTTTATTCTTACACTTGCAACACAAAGCAGATATTTTTGCTGGACTTTTCCTTGATAGACCAAAGCCTAAGAAGATGTTCAGGTGGCTCCCTGAGTGATTTTGCTTTTTTTTTTTTTTTTTTTGTAGTATTATGAACCTGTAGTATTAACAAGTTCATAATATACAGAAATTTGTAAGACACAAAGGAAATGAATGATAAAACCTGAACTATCAGACATAAGAAAAAAGTAAGAAATCCCACCCCTGGAAACATCCTGCAAATTCATCCATTCTAGGCACAACTCTAATGCTGAAATAGATTACAGGGACAGTGGAACAGATTACAATTAATGTGAAATGGGGAAACATTTGATTATCCACTGTTTAGTTGCGGGGCTGGTAAATGGCAGCTTTTACTTTAGTTACCAGAACAAGTGTTCAGACACCCATTTCCCCACAATTACTGCGCACATATTCATCGTTCATAGAGAGAGGGAGAGAGAGAAAGAGGCTGCCTGTACATGTGACAGGGGTTTAGTCCCCTAAATTGAAATGGTGGGTTTTTAATTGCAACAATTAAAACCCACCATTTCAATTTAGGGCCTTTCATCACTGTTATAGGGAGGGGCCTGATCCTTTTTTTTTCTCCCTTGAGGAGCCTGCCCGCCTCTCCCACAGCCGGGGGATGAGCTGCCAGCAGGTCGAGCAGCCCCTGAGCTGCAGGGGGGGCTGGGCCCTCCCCTGTGGTGCTGATGCACCCTGGGACCACCAGGATGGGCTGCCAGTGAGTGGGTGCTGCTGCTGTGGAGGGAAGGTCTGGGGCCTCCTGCAGCTTGCCCCCCGGCCACAGGAGAGGCAGACGGGCTCTGTGGGCAGAGGGGAAAAGAAAAAAAAGGGACCAGACCCCTTGCTGCTTAATTTTTTTCCCCTCCGTGGAGCCTGCCTGCCCGAGCTGCTGCTGGGCCATGAAGCCCCTGAGCTGCAAGGGGGCCTGGTTCTTCCCTCTGTGGCAGCGGCACCCCCCTGGGGCACCCAGGTGGGGTGCTAGCTGCACAGGTGGTGCCCCAGCTCGCAGGCAGCACCTGCCAGATCCAACTCTGCCCCAAGCCCATGTGCTGGAAGCCCACCAGATGCTGCTCCCCTCACAGGCTTGGGGAAGAGTTGGATCCAGTGCGTGCTGCCACAGATATGTTTATAAAGAAAATATATACCATATATTGCCAGAACTGCTGCACTCTAACCATACTCATTTCCATAGCCGTTTCTTATCTTAGTCCTACCTTTGGAAGTCCTTTCTTCGGGGCATTCCCCCAGGAATTACAGGAGGAATTGCTCTCTTGTGAAGCAGTATTATTCCACATATCTCCTTCTTCATCTTCCCACTGACTAGTACTGAGATTCACTTCATCCCCACCACTGCCCCAGCCTTCTTGCATAGATTTTGAAGCTGGGAAGAAAGAAATAGTTCTAGTCATTTTCTCTGTGACTTAAACTCTTAAGTTTACAGATACATTCATTCATACTGTATTCATTACCTTAGCAGCCAAACATTTTTCCAATACAGGTTCTTCAAAAAGCTTAATAAACATTAATCTTTAGTTCTCTTCCCGTAAGTGGGAGAGAAGGGGTGAATAATAATAAAAAATTATTATTATTGTGGGGAAAGTAGCAAACAACAGTCTTGTTTTTATCCTGAAGGCAGTGATATCTGTGATATTTCCATTCTCTTAAGAAATATAGTTCCAAAGCCATGCCCAGCCACTAAACATACATATTATCTCCTCTTCTTGTGGATCTTAGCCTTCTAGTTAACACTCTTGTCCCTGAGAAACACAGTTGAAGATAACAGTTACAACTATGTGCTGCTGCTATTTGTCCCTGGAGAAACACTGCAGGGAGCTCATCTGGAGGCTCCCACTAAGTTTACCTGCTTTTCATCTAGTTAGTGACTAGACTGACATAGCTGTTCACATTTTATGAGTGAGATAAGAATTAAGCACATTTGCGTTTGAGCTTAACGTTTCCCCTTCTGTATATCTTTAGCAGATTATTCATAATTGTGTACCAAGGATACATCTATATTCATTACCCAGTAACTTTGAATCCTAGTGTAAAAATACAATGACATTTTCTAAATCACAACTGAAACTAAAAAACGTCTTAACTGGACAAAGAGACATGGGAACCAAATGTTACTGAAAAATGCATCCCGACTGTTCCTCCCACTCTCTATCCCCCTCCCCATTCAAAATAACATGAATGCATGCATTTACCTGGTTTGCACAGTGCTGGGGCAGCAGCTGGAGCACTTGTTCTTCCATATGTCCCTGCCGACTCGGCAGAATTATCTCCCCACCCTGCACCACTGCTGGGGGGTTTCCCCCATGCTGAAGTGCCATTATCAACTGCAGCAGAAGGGGATGAGGGCTCTCCCCAAGAAGCGTCAGTCTTTGTGTGGACAGCAGGCATCTCTCCCCAGCCTGCTGAAAACAGGAAGAGAGGGGGGGAAGGGGAAAAAATAAATCAAAATGAGAGAAAACAGAAAAGAAATAGAAAAACCACAACAGTTTCCTTTTCTGAATACATTTGCAGCTACATCTATCATTAAAATGGCTTTTTCTGTTGAGAGCATAAAGCAGCAGGGTAGACGCAATGGATTTAATTAGGCATGTAAAAAAATCCATTTGACTTGCTCTCAAATTTCTTTTTCTTAATTGAACTTCATGATATGCATTCGTCAAGACTGAATCATTTTTACTGACTGAATTCAGGCAGATAGGCAGGCAAGTTTATCCACACTGCTTTACAAATGTAGCCTGGCCCTGATCTGGAGATACCAAACTCCTTCAAAGAAAAATCAGCTCCTTAAGCAGCACCTGAATTGAGACATTAATCTCAAACAGTCAATGTAGGGGTTTGGGCGATCCAACACTCCACTAGATGAGTTTACAGAACACTGAAAATGTACACAACCAGGACTACAATTGAACTGAAAGGTTTCTGTGACACGAATTGAAGTTATTTTTTATTCCCCAACATTTTGCAGACGGTTACAATTGCTTTCTTAAACCTTAAGTACTAAAATACTTGTTTTTGACCACCTCTAATAAGACGATACATTTCATAATCATCATTTTTATGGGATTCCTCCAATCCCTGAGGCTCTCTAATGTAACCAATATCCTTCAATATCAGAGACAGATACACCTGAAGTTAGAATCCAATCCAAACCAGGTAGGGAGGCTGCAGATTCAAGGCACTACTGCCATATATTTTTCATGTTATGTAGTACCTTACATCTCTCAAGAGATGACTTAGTCACTGTACCTTGGCTTTGGTATAGCACTTAGTCATATTCATCTGACAGTAATTTTACCACTAAGCTTTAGAGGAGGCTTTTCCTCAAGTAAAAGTTACTCATGTCCATTACTTGTTACTCATTTGTTTCGGTGTTCTTGAGCTTAATGATTAAGAACCAAACTTTGAACGTCTTGCCTAGTAACCAATACAAAATGTACGTAGATAGCATATACAGATGCTCCTAGAAGACTCCACTGCTTAAGCAAGTTTCCCAAAAGATATATTGAGTGACTTTTAAAAAAAATCAGAGATGGATTTCAAGTCGAAGTAAAAAGCACGCACACCAGACTAGATAACAAGTGATACATTACAGAGAAACTGAAGTTCTTGAAGTGAACTGGAACTGAAGTACATGCTCTACAGCAGTTACAAAATAATTACACCACATGACGAGATAAATCTCAGAAGGTATCACACAGTTCAACATTTGACCATCAGTTTAAAAAATGTGCTACATATGGGCTGTTATTCAATTCAAGAAAACCTGTGCTTCCATTCAGAGATGGACATAAGTACTGGTATATATATATTTAAAAGAACTGGCCCCAAAAGGTGATGCCTCCTGACAAACGACAAAATAAAAACAGATTGGATGAGAATAGTTCTGGTCTAGCTGCTAAAATGCCAAAGAATATTCCTGCTTTTAATTTCCACAAAGTGAGTGACAACTCTATATTTTATTGCAATATTTTTGCTTTTTTAGATGTCCTAATTAAGGGGACTTTTGAAAAAAAACCCAACATTAAAGACTTTTAGACTGCAGATGCATCAATTTCTGCACTAATGGAGAGCTACAGAAGAAAAGACATTGGCCCTTCTATCTTTCAGGCTGAATTTTATTGCATGCAGTCTATCTTTTTAAGTTGCACGTAGGTTATGTAGCAAGAACTTACCAAGCAGCTCTACCTTTGCAGATAGCCCCTATGGTCCTTTCTGAAGGGGACAATCAATCAGTCTACCTCAGTTACCAGAGAGACATCTTTGCAAGGTCAAGCTCCATGCTACTTGGTACTTGTACTCATGTAACAGGCATGGTGCGGATATGCCACAGGCAGCATACATCCCTCCATTCACAATCTAGCTACTGACCAGCACAACAGCAAGACCGAGTGCTTGGATAAGGTGTTTCAGATACTTCATGTACTACTCCAGCTTTAAAAAAAAACCTTGGAAGATAAAAGTCCTATTTTGCAATACAATTATATTTTGTTCTCTTGAGTAATATATTTAGCTATCACAAAATGATACAAGTTAAAACATGAATGAGGTTCAGTATAAGTAAACTAAAACCATACTACTAGGAAAATATACCTTCCTCTACTCACAGCAGACATTTTACTCTCCATTATAAAATATATTGTAATTGCCCAGTTGTGCTCAAGACAAAACACTGATTTAATCATATTTACTACAACTCCAATAAAAAAATCGTATCATCAATGGCTGCTTTCAGATGTGGGTAAAAACAACCCAGCGCTTTACTTTCAGCTTGGTGTGACCCAGGAACCAATTCAATCACCTATTAGATAAAACTGCCCCAAAGCCCAGCTGAAGTGCGCAATCTATACAGATGCTGGGAGAGCCAGGTCAAACTGCTGCATTTACTCTTCTGGTACAGTGATGTGTTGTCCCCCCCCCATCTGTAAGCAGCCAATAAATGTAAATTAGATGCCTTCCTGATTTTTCTTTCATGGAATTTGTAACTTATTTTCATTTTTAAACCAAAGTTAGTGTTCCAAAAATGGTACATTTTTCTTATTAGATTTGCATACAAACATTTATGAACAAAGCCTTCTAACAATGGTTTATTTTGCTCAGCGTCTCACCTAAAATATTTACTTAAGTTTTTGCTTGTGATTGTAACTGGCCTTTATTTTAACTTATTTGAGGGTAGCAGAACGTCTATTTCAAAACCTTTCTTCCTCTGCTCAAGAAACATCTTTGCAACAGACAACCTCAAAAACAACTGAGAAAAGGAAACAAAGCACATTTGTACATAGGAATGAATGTAAATACAAAATAATATTTTTTACCTATGTGCAAGGACTCACTTCATTCATGATTTTGCTAATCTTGTGGAAATCACAAAATCCAGGATTGTCCATGAAAACCTCAGAATCACCAATGACAAAAAAATAAAAAGCTGATTCCCCAGGGGGAGGCAGCAGTCCTTGCTGGTGGGACAGGAAAGCACTGTCTGGTGGGGCAGCACGAAGGGCAGAAGACAAGATGGCGGGTGCCTCCTTGTCTCACCCCGCCAGGGCTTCTCAGCCAATCAGCACCAAAGGGTGGGACCGCAGCCAAATGACCATGGAATTAGAACGTTATACTGCAATCAACCCGTGAAAACTGGTAAGTACCCCCATGATTTAGGTAAACCCCTACCTATGTGCGCATAGTCTATGTTGGAAAATACAACTAGTTCAACCCCCAAATTTAACCTCAGAACACAAATGCTATTATTTTAATAATAATAATTATTAGTTTGTTGAATAAAAACTCCAAGAAACCAGCTCTCTTGGTGCTGTTTACTCTAAATGCAGTAACACTGATTAATGACTACAGCACTGTATTATGACTCATTCTGTGTTAAGTGGTTTAAGTGTGCTGAGCAGTACAATGTTATGTAAATTATTACGAACAAGGAAGCTGCCCATTACTAAGATATTATAAATAATTCCATAAAAACAAAATGTATTAAAATTCAGATTTCAAAGCTCCCTCAACAGATCAAATTAAACAGAAAATTAGCAGAATAGCTAAAAATTATGGCTGGCTGGGGAAACAGTGAGTTTATGTGCTGCTAACTACTAAGCTCTAGAAAAGCTGAAGTAAGTATTAATAATCAGAACAAAACAGCAGAGAATATTTGTTGCACTTTATTTTCTCAAAGCTAAGTACAGAATTGTCAATGCTGTTACTTCTGTACCAACACTCTGGGCCTGGATGCAACTATTTGACTTTAAAAGTGCCAGAGATGACTGTGGTCCAAGTTCTTCTGTGGCCTTGCACTGTGCCTTCCTGAGACCAGGGTGACCCCAGCCAGGAGAAGGCACTGGGGGCAGCTGCTCCTGCCCCTCTCATAGACCAGAAGGAGAAAGGAGAAGTAGCCACCACCCACTCCCATGTAATCAGGAGGCACGAGGCTTTGCCCTGCCCTCTGCTTGGCTCTCCAATACCAGTTGAGTGGAGCCTGCAGTGCCGCAAGTCCTCTGCCCACTTCTCACACTGAAGTACCCAGAGTGAGAAAAGGGCTGGGGGCTTTGGGTTGCTGCTCTCCTCCCCCACTGAACTAGTCCAGAAGGGGAGGGGAGCAGCCCCCGCTCTCTACCTTTTCTCAAATCTGGGCAGTCCCTAGTTTCAGAAAGAGGTGGGGATTTTACCAGCTCCCATCAGCTTCCCCTCGCCACCAGTGCTGCCCAGCTAGACAGCTATTTAAAAGCCTGCAGGGTTGGGAGGTGCATTTGGGGATAGCCTGCAAGTACAGACCCGGGTCCTGGTGGCTTCCCCTTGCCACCCCAGTAACTGTGCGGTGTGAGCAGCAAGGAGAAGCCAGAGGGGCCTGGGAAGACTCACCCCAAGGGAACAGGCAAAGCACCTGCCTGCTCCTAACACCAGAGTCCCAGGTGTGTGGAACAGCAAGGTCTTTGTCACAGGACTTGATTTTCTCAGCTCCTGGTGCCCAGAAGCTGAGTGAAGAGAGCAGCATCACCAGCTGCCTGCTTCTCACACCCGAGTAGCAGGCAGGGGCTTTTTCCTGTTATTCCAGCCTTCCCGGGAACAGGACTGGAGCAGCCTCCCAAGCTGGGGTCACCTCAGGATTGAGAAAGTACAAGGAGCAGGGGAGATGGGGTGGTTGCAGACATCTGTACTGCTCCCTCTTCCAGAATCA